TCCAGGAAGGTAGGTGGGCTGGTCCAGGCCAGGTCTCCAGTACCCAGCCAGGTACACATTACCTTCACACACGAATGGACAAATGACGGTGACGACGTTCAAGCTTCAAGGAGGATCTTACCACCTGATTTTATAGATGAGGCCTCAGGGGCCCAGGGTGAGAGAGGACTGCCCAAAGTCGTAAGCATGTTGGGAGCAGAGTTTAAAAGAGAAGTCTGGTTCATAGCAGTACTACTCACAGTAGCCAAAAGGTGGAAACAACCCAGATGTCCATCAGCTGATGAATGGATGAAATATAGTTCATCCATGGAGTAGAATATTTTCCAGCCATTAAAAAGAGCTAAGTACTGATACGTGCTACAACTGGGATGAACCTAGAAAATGTTATGCTAAGTGAACGGAGCCAGACACAAAAGGCCACATATTGTATGATTCCATTTATATGAAATATGCAGAAAAGGCAAATCTGTGAGAGACAGGAAGCAGATCAGTGGTTGCCAGAGGCTGAGGGAGGGGAGAATGGGAGTGACTTCTTAATGGGTACAGGGTTTCCTTTCGGGGTGATGAAACTCTTCTGGAACTAGATAATGATGGTGGTTGCACGGCGTTGTGAATGTATTGTATGTTTTAAAATGGTTAAAATGGTGAATTTTAGGTTATGTGAATTTCACCCCAGTTTCAAAAAAGGAGTAGATTGGGACCAGATCAGATGCCACCAGCTGGGCCTAATGTTTATTCCTCAAACACATGCCACTGATCGCCCTTTCTATGACAGACCTCCTCAGCCCAGGGATCGGGGAGCCTGTGGCACATCTTGGTTCAGAGGAAGCCCCATGGTCAACTGGAAGAGGACAGGATTCCTGCTCAGGTGCCTCTGCTGGTGCCCGGCCTCCATCACTTCCCCATCCCACTGACCAGCCTGCTTCCAGTTAATGCCAAATATTCCGTACAACCTGCTTCCAGTTAATGCGAAATATTCCGTACATCTCAGGCCTCCAAGATGCTCAGCTCTTGCTCTTGCTGTTTGCACTAGGAAGGAGGTGCTTTCCTTTGTGACCCTCTCATCCACCTAGAAACATCCTTTAAGAACCAGGTCCTATCTTCCCTTGCAGAAGACATCCACCCTCCGCCCCCTCACCACGAGCCAAGCTGAGCTCCCCAAGGTATCACGTGCATGCAGCCTATTAAAGCAGGTGTGGGAACGATCATGTTTGCCTGTGTGTCTCCCTTGGCAGACTGGGAGCTTTGTGGGGGAAGGGCCTGGCTTGTTCACCACTGTGTTCCTAGGATAGCCCTGGTGCCTTGCTCACAGGAGGTGCTCAGTAAACGCTTGTTGAATGGGGCAATGGCTTTGGAAAAGTTCTCTTCCCTCCCAGATAGTCTCCATCTGTGAGGGAAGGACAGGCAGGGTGATCTCCAAGTCCCTTTATGTCTGAGGTTCTCTGGTTCTAAGAGCAGCAGTGAGGGGCCAGCGCAGCAAGTCGCTGCCTGTTGTCACAGGCCAGTTTTCTGCTCCTGTTGCCCGGCTGGTAGAAGTGGAGAAGTGGAGAGAAGGAGCCTGCAGTAATCCACTGCAAGCAGCTATTTCTGCTCTTGGCAGGGAGGAAGGAGGGCAGTTCCCGGAGACTGGGCTTCTCCATTCAGCCTGAATGGACCAGCTCTTCTCTTTGGAAATCTAATTTAAACCCTCCCCTGAACAGCCTAGACATGCAGGTTTTGGCGAGGTTGCCTGGAGTCCTTCAACTGCAGGGCCGAGAGCAGGCTCTAGCTCCATTTTCCTCTACAGACGAGAGGTGCTACTCTTTCTGCTTTCCTGATTATGAAATTAGTCATTTTCTAGGAAGCTTATTTATAGAGTCCGCTGCACACATGCAGCGCTGAGCTATTCTGAACACGGCTTGGGGCCTGGGAGGCTTAAGGTGTGAAAGCAGCTGTGAGTCACACATGGGTCCCCCTCCAGAGGTATCTGGATACCTAAGTTACCTTTTTGCACTGAGCCAGGAGCCAGGCCTTTGGGGCTGCCCTCCAGCTGGGGCGCTCTTCAAGATAAATAAAGAAAAAGCTTCAGATCGTGAGGTAGGGGGTAGGTGTTCTCCATCCCAATCCACATGGCCACCCACTCGATATATCACCTGGGCCAAGTCAGACCTCTGTTCTGTGCCTCCGTTTCCTCCTCTGCTAAATGAGAGGCCTTCCTGATTCTGGGCCTGCTTGTGGACAGCAGCTGTGGAGGAAGGTTCCAAGTGACTTCACAAAGACTGCCTTCAGGGCTTCCCTGGTGGCGCAGTGGTTGAGAGTCCGCCTGCCAATGCAGGGGACACGGGTTCGTGCCCCGGTCCAGGAAGATCCCACATGCCGTGGCCGCTGAGCCTGCACATCCGGAGCCTGTGCTCTGCAACGGGAGAGGCCACAACAGTGAGAGGCCCGCATACTGCAAAAAAAAAAAAAAAAAAAAAAAGAATGCCTTCACAAAGGCAGCTCAGATAATGGCCATGTTTGAGGTCCCTGATGTTTTTCTAAGAATGTCAGGGCAACATTCAGTTATTCAACAAGTGTTTGTTTATTTATTGAACACCTGCTGTGAACCAGGCACTATGCAAGGCTTTCAAGATACAATGGTAAATGAAACAGAAATGGTGGTCCCTGCCTTCGTGTCGCTTATAATCTAATGTTAGTCAAATAATGGCCTGAGTTAAAATGAAATTTCAAACTCTGTCAAGTGCTGTGAGTAAAAAGTACTGGGAAGAAAATAGATAGTGGGAAGCAGCCGCATAGCGCAGGGAGATCCAGCTCGGTGCTTTGTGACCACCTAGAGGGGTGGGATAGGGAGGGTGGGAGGGAGACGCAAGAGGGAGGAGATATGGGGACATATGTTTATGTATAGCTGATTCACTTTGTTACACAGCAGAAACTAACACACCATTGCCAAGCAATTATACCCCAATAAAGATGTTAAAAAAAAACAAAAGTACTGGGAAGTAGAGCTCCTGGAGCGGTGGGGGGCTCTCCAGGCAGGGAGAAAAACACACGCAAAGGCATCATGAAGGAAAGAGCCTGTCCCAGTGTAGCTAGAGTGCAGAGGTTAAAGGGGAAAGGGTCATGAAATAAAGTTGGAGGGATGAACAAGGGTTAGACCATTCAAGATCTGATAAACCATGTCAAAGGTTGCCATTGCCTTTGTTCCAAGTGTAATAAGATGCCATTCAAGTATTTTTTTAAGGAAAGTTATAAGATAAATGTTGAGTTGTGAAAAAGTTCTAGCTCAGGCCTGCCCCATCCAGATGTACAGGTTGTAAAGTGCACAATCTATGAAGCCGTATGTATTGGAGCCGTATGGAGAATGTTTTGGAGGCCAGGCTGAGTGGATGCCAGAGACCAGTTAAAAGACTGCCACAGTAATCTAGGCAAGAGATGCTGCCCTGGGCCAAGATGTAGGTAGTGAAAAGGGAGAAAAGTGGAGAGACTCAGGAGACATTTAAAGGGCCTTCAAGATAGCAGCTCTCTCTCCATAGGAGAGCTGGGCCCTGGGATTTGGGATTCTCAGAGGCCCTCCCAATTGGAGTGAGGAAAAAATAAAACAATTGCCAGTTGAGAGCAGAAGGTGTCAGAATGAAAATGGTCACCATCCTTAACCCGGCCTGTCTGCCCTTCATTGATTCCGATCTTCAGCAGGGCCTGAAATCAGCCTAAGGACCAGTCCGAGAGGCAGGATTGCAGGACTAGTGGGTGGAGAGGCAGCTGACCTCTTGAACTTCTTGGAAGTATTATGCTAGCAGGGCTGTATTAAAGTTTCTTCTGGTTGCCAGTTTCAGAAATCAGATTCTGCTGGTTTGAGCTAAAATGTTGGAATTTATTGGAAGGATACTGGGGCATCTTATGGCCTCAACAGAAATTTTGCCCAATCAAGACTCAAGATGGGCCGGAATGAAGTAACTCCAAGACCCTTGGCAGCAGATGTTTTTGGACCTTCTCTCCAGGACACTGTGGCTACCGTGATTCAGCCCCCAGAATGCATTTGAAAAGTGCAGAGGAGAGGATCTGATTGGCCCAGCCTAGTTGGTTTGTCCAGCCCTGGATCAGTCAGCTACTGCCTGGGGTCAGACACGAAGGGCAGGCAGAGCCACTGGAGCCCACACCTGCACAGCAGGCTATTCCCAAAGCAGGGAAGCCCTGAGAGCAACGCAATTACCCTAAGCATAGGTCAAAGTGCAGACACTGTCTGGTGTCTGACTAATTTCCAGCAACCTTTTTCCCAGCTTACTGGGTAAAGGAGAAAAGCTAGTCCCCAGCATAGTCCTGGAAGGTGCCCTGATGAGCTAGAAAGAGGGTTTTCTGAGTTCAAAAAGAAATAGAACATTTAGAAAATGCATATACATACACAGCTACTTTTTCTAGCTATTTCCAGAGAAGAGTTTTGCATACCACTTTTTACTGCCTGAGGCACAGGGAATGTGCAGATGTGGGGAGCTGGACACATGCTGTATGCTACCCAGATCCCTCTTGCTCACCCATGGTTCAAACCCACAGGAAGTAGGAGGCAGAATGGCTCAGCAGTGAAAGTGTGAGCCTGGAGTCCTAGACTGTAGTTTCGTACCCAGCTCTACCCTAATGAGCTGTGTGACCTGAGGCAGGTTACTCGACTTCGCTGAGCCAGTGAAATGATCCCTAATTCATGGGGCCCTGATGAAGATTCAGTGTGATAAAGTTTGTAAAGTGCTTTGAACGTAGTAAGCCCTCCTCCTGTGGCAGAGATGATGGTGCTGATGGTGGTTTTAGAGATGTTGCTGGTGGTTATTCCACCTGGAAGACACCTATAAAATTCTGCTTCTGCCTCTGCAGCTTGACCCCTCTGTAGGTTGGTCTTTTCCTCCGGTCCCCCTAATGGGGCAGGGTTATTCCAAGGGACACAGTGCAAGAAAGGAAGGCTTTTTCTCTTTGCTCGGGGTTTTGTCTTGATCCCAGCTCAACAGCCTCATCTCACATTTTTCATTCTGCTGCAGGAGTGAGAGAGAGAGAGAGAACCACACTGCTGATGACTCCAAGGGAGGGGCCCTGGACATGTGCTGCAGCGAGAGGCTGCCGGGTGAGTCTTCCCAGCACCAGGTCCCCCAGAGCTGCAAATGGAGAAAGAGAGCTCCGGATGGCGCTGGGGCTGGAGGAAAGCCTGGGTGGCTGTGAATTTGCTTTAGAGGAGTGACTCAGCTGGTCTGTAGGTCTTCGTTTCAATGAGGATTTGTTTTTCTAATCCCTGATGTCTTTCTAACCTGTTATCATTTGGAGCTGCTCTAGACTCAGTTGGAGGAAAGAAGAGGCAGCTGAGGGTGTGCGGGGAGGGTGGAGAGAAGGGTGAAGAGCTGGGGAGTCCAGGCTTGATCAGGACATGACCACTGGCCGGTGGTGTGCTGGGCAGATTTCGAAAGGTAAGATTAGGAAACAGCCTGACCGTGGCATGAGCCAAGGGTGCGGTGGACGAAGTGGAGAAAATCCCTGACAGCCCTGAGGAGAAGCCTGGCTGTGAATGTCAGATTGTGCTGCTTGAGTCTGGCTGACCACACTTGAACCACGGGCCATTGCTGTCGCCACAGAAACATTACCAAGGCACTGCTGCCCATAGAGAAGCAGCACCTCTGGTTGTAGACCAAATACCCAAGTCATGATTAACAGCCTTGGAAGGAATGAAGGAAGGAAGGTGGGGGAACCTTTTTTGTGTTTTTTCCTTTTATAAAAGTTTTTATTGTTTTCTTTTCCTCCTTATAACAAATATCCATTGTAGAAATATTAGAAAATAAAGACAAGAGAAAAAGAAAAATCACCATAATCCTGTAACACTACACACATTTTCACATCTCCCTTTCCAAACCTTTTTGTCGAGAAATAACCGATTCTGAATTCTAATTGTGAACTCTCAAACCTGTAGCTTGTCAGAAACCTCATGATTGGCAAGGAACCTTAGAGTGTCGAGTCTTCAGTGACCCTCTTTAAGACAGACATGGAAAACAACTCAGTGTGACTCTAAAGCCATGACTCTTTAAAATAAGTGGTGGTTTTTTTACCCCATGAGCAGTTGCCCCAGCTACGGATGAAGTTCCTCCAGCCTCCCACTGAGCATTGAGCCCTTCAGTATAATTCTCACCTTATCCAGTAGGGGGTGCCATTGCTCAAAACACTTAGGACAGCCTGTTGAGATGGGCTAGGATGGATGCCATTGCACCAGTGTCGTTGTGGGACCCAAAACAGCTAGCTTGAGGACTAGACTTCTCCAAAGGGATGTAAGAGCTGTCTGCAAACATCTGAAAGGCTGCCTTGTGAAGGGGACGGCATATTCATTCTGTGTGTGTCTTATGAAGAGGGCATAAATCCAATACATAGAAATTTATAAGAGGCCTGTTGGCCCACGGGATGCAGAACTTTCTTTCTGACTCTAAAAATAGTCCAGTCATTGAACTTGATAATGCAGGAGAAAATGAGTGTTCCATCACTGGAGGTATTCAAGTATTGTCTGGGTAGACATTGGAGAGGAAATTTCCACAATGGGTGGGAGGTCGAGGTGACAGCACGAGTCCCTTTCAGCTATTAAACAGTTCTGTGATTCAGATATGAGTCATAGAATTCAGAGATGATTCTACAACCAGGGATGGCCCCAGTGGCTAGAAAAAAATCCACAGAAAATAGGACACCGTGTATAGGAATCCAGAGAGTAGCGTGGTGTGGAGGAACGAGCATGGGGTCTGGTCTTGGAGTCTGGCTGTTCTGCACACAGGCTGTGTGTTTATGGACAAGTTATGTAACCTGCTGGTCCTCCAGTCCTTTATTTGCAAATGGAAACAACAGTATGAACATTTATCCTCACAAGGAAAATAAATGTAATCACACAAGCATTCATTCAACAAATACTTATTGAGCATGTACTATGTGTCAGGTGCTGTACTAGGCGCTAGGGATATAGTGGTGAGTATGACAGACAAGGTCCCTGCCCTGCTTTGAGCTGCTTCTGGAGAATGGGATGAAGCCACCGCAGAGAGGCTACAGTAATAAGCGTGATTTGTTTAATTCCAACCTTCTCTCCCATTCCTCCCCAAAAGCCAACAACCAGAATAGAATCAAAGAGGAGTATTGGTCATCTCCGCTGGACCTGGCACATTGCCTACCTTGTGCCAGGCACTGTACTAAATGCTTTCACGTGTATGCAAAGGTGCAGTAGCACCAGCAGGTTATCTGAGAATTCAGCTCATTTCTGACACTGTCTCCCAGGAGATAGCATCAGATTCCACAGGTAAAGGGCTCAATCCCATAAGTCTGCCCTCTACTTTAGACGCCATTGCAAGCCCAGATTGTTACCTGCAGTTCTGACCGACTGGCTGTATATCAGAGGTTCCCACAGCCCTCTCCTCAGCTTCAATTAATGTGCTAGAAAGGCTCACAAAACTCAAACATTTTAGTTACTAGATTACCAGTTTATTGTAAGAGGATATTAAAGGATATAGATGACCATCCAGATGGAAGAGATGCATAGGGCAAGGCACGGGAAAGGGCGCAGAGCCCCCCATACCCTCTCTCAGCACCACTCTCCCCACCTCGCCATGCGCTCACCGGGAAGCTCTCCAGTTCTCGTCCTTTGGGATGTTTCTGGAGGCTTGATTACATAAACATCATGGATTAAATCATTGGCCATTGGCGAATGATTCAACCCCCAGCCCCTCTCCCTGGAGGTCGGGTCTGGGACTGGAAAGTTCCAGTGCTCTAATCACATGGTTGGTTCTCCTGGCAACCAGCCCCCACCCTTGGGTGGGATCCGAAAGTCACCTTCCCTGAAGCATTTTCAGGAACTAAGGACAAGAGACCAAATGTGATCCTACTGCTCAGGAAATTCCAAAGACTTTGGGAGCTGTGAGTTAGGAACTGTGGCTGAAGACCAAATATATATGAGAGATATATATTTTGGTCATCTGAATGACGAATTATATATTTCTGATAAATCATAATAATCACAACCTATATCATGCAATCCTCTCTGCTACCCTAGGAAGTCGGTATTATTTGCTATCACCATCTCATAGAAGAAAGGACCAAGGTCCCGGGAGGTTAGAGGGTCTGTCCAGGTTCATCCAGTGTTTAGTAGAGTGAGGAGTCCCTCCAGGCAGTTTCCTTCCAGAGCCCAGGCTCCTGGCCACTACCCCATTCTGCCTTCTATGTCGCCATTGAGCCATCATGATCTTCTAGCACCCTGTGGACTGAGGCAGGAAGAACTAAGGTATGTCTGTCCCCAGGGAGGAGTTTGGAGGAGTTGGGCGATGTCACTGTGCCTGTCCCTATCTGTGTCCTTCCTCTGGAAAGCCTGCCTGCCAGGGGCCAGGCAAGTTATATGCCCTTCTAGGCACCCATGACGCCGTCTTCATATGATATTGAAATAACTTTTTGTTTCCTCCATGGGACCGTGAGCTCTTTGAAGGCACCTACCTCTCTATTCCATCCTCCATGGCAACATTCATTCACTCATTTCTTCATCCATTTACTCAGTATTCACTGACCACTTCCATGTGTTGGGCACTCTGGAAGCACTGGAGTTTCAACAATGAAGCAACCTGAGAAAATTTCCCACCCTTACAGGACAGTATTGTGCCCTAGTTAAGAGCAGGCATTCTGGACCCAGGCGTAGCTCCACCATTTACCATTGGGGTGATCCTGGGCAAGCTACTTAACCCCTCTGCCTTCCATTTACAAAATGGCAAGAATAACATTGACTACCATGTACGGTTGTTGGAGGATTAAATGGAGCTCAGAACAATGCCTGGAATGTGGCAAGTGACATAGGCATTTGCTATTAAGGGAAAGATAGACAATAAATAAGTAAAATATATAGTATAGCAGATGGTGATAAGTGCTGTGGAGAAAATTAAAGCCAAAAAGGGAGGGGTGGGAAAGGACCAGGACTGGGTGGCCGGAGGCGGGGGGGATGGTTGGCATTGTAAATAGGGTGGTCCTGGAACCTGGTAAGGAGTAGACATCCACAGTGTTCATCAGCCAAAACCACCAACCTAAGCTGTACCTTGGACATAAAAGGAGATGGGGGCATACAGGCCCAGAGACTTGGGGCGTTGGGCCTTTAGGATGAGCCCATGGACACTGCAAGCAGTTGCATAATGATGTAAAAATACAGCCCTCGAGTAATGTCTCCCCCTCCCAGCTGTCTTCCCCGCTGGGCAAGACTGAGAGGCAAGGCAGAGTGAGGACCAGGCATGCCTGGGTGACTCACTCATTCCCACAGGAGCTGCCAGGCAGGGGGCGACATGGCCAACACTCCCGGGGCCGCGGTCACCCAGACCCTAGCCAGCGCCAAGCAGGTCATCCAGTCCTCCCAGATTGAGATTTCTGGGTGAAAACATCCTCAGGCATCGCCGACACCTGCAGGCAGCCCACAGCTGCCTCCAGGGCAGGCACGCTCACTCGCACCCCCGGAGGCGTTCCACACAGGCGCACACACACTCATGTCTGCTGTCACTTGTCACGGCCTCGTGCTCACGTATGCACGTGCACATACCCACATGCAGTCCCCTGGGCACGTGCAGCTCCCGCACCTATGAGTCTTCTCCCTCTTGCACACCCAGGACCTCTTAACCCCATCGCCCTGTCATCCACCCCTTTCCGCTAGAGATGCTTCTTAGAGATGGACACACTTGCTTGTTCTCTGTTTCCTCTTTAGGTCTCATGCTTTCCTGCAGCGACACCCCCTTCTCCTGCACATGCAGATAAGCAGGCACATTCCTGCCCTCCCTCACTGCACGCAATTCCTAGGTACTGTGGTGGGCACCGGTGTATCTCCAGGTCCGTGCAGGGGCATACACAGGTTTCTCCTCTCGCGTGCGCACGCGCTTTTTCACGTGCTCACCCTCCTTTGCTCTTGCACTCCCCCCACTTGCTCACTTCCTCCCTCATTTTCTTGCTCACAGTCACCCAAACACATTTAAACATTCAAACTCACACTCTCTCCCCTTCTGTGTGTAGGTGTTCACATTTGCGAGAAAGCAGGCAACCCTGCTGATGCTGGGACCTCTGCTCCTGCCCGAATAGCACCAGTGCAGGCCT